TATTGTTAGTCACAACTGTGGGGAGAAATCCATTGCCACCCTGTTGTTAAAGAATGCTGATTATCTTGTTAATTCTGTATCATTGAGTTTGAGGAATTTAACTTTGTTTTCATCCGCACCCAGTGTGCTATCTATGATGCTGGTTTATTCTAATGTGGAGATTTTGTCAATTGTTGCTGATGTCATACAGGATGTGTTCAACTGCCTTGACTTTTATCAAGAGGAAGTGACATTTTCATTAATGAAAGTTTTAAAGAGTTTTGTTTCATCAGTAAATACTTGGTTTGGAGATGAGTTGACTAAGGAGAAAGGCGGACAGGAACATGAATATCAAAAGGTAAGGCAGATTGGTTTTTGTAATCAGAAAAATCTTAATTTATGCCTTGCTTTTTGTCAGCATTTTATTGCCGTTTTTTACTTTTAGCTAGGTATCTTTAGGGAAGACATTAGGATGTAACCTTTATAAATATTTGTATTTAAGTGACAGTTCACAGTTACATAATTTTTTAAGTCAGATGGAAAAATTCACAACAATTTGGTTCTATTCACTGATAAAAATTAACCACCAACATAACATAACAACAAATTAACCAAAAGACAATTTTTTCTTGATTTATGTTTCAATTTCATGTCAAATCATCAACAAAGTGGTGGGAACCAGTGGCACTTTTCCCAAAACAGAGGTTCAGAGCCTGTTTGATGCTCACAGGCACACCCTTTTTTATCTATTGTATCTCCTACTCTGAAAATGCTTCCTACATCTATGATCACCAGCAATTTGTTTTGCTGTTTTCCTATAACTGTGATTTTTAAAAAAATGTCCAAGAGATGCTCTCTTTTTCAATCAATTTCCTCCTGTCTAGTTTTCCCCACCATTTTGCATGTAGCATCTTATTTGATTTCTAACAGTGATCAATTGCTCTGCTGGATATTGTTTTAGATTTCCCCAAAGCAAAAGGGTCATGCTTATTGTGCAGTGAGAAACTCTGATTTGAACTAATTATTTGCTGCTGTTTATCTAGCATTTTATATTTCAAAACCTTCCTAATTAGTTCTTAGATATAGAGAAAATTAAAAGAGGTCACTAAATCTGTATTCCCCATTAGCACTTGAAACCTCTTTGGTTTATAGTAAGTCCAAACAGTGCTTCTTTTTAATGTTGAAGCTTCAACATCAAAGCTACTTTAGAAAATGATTTTCATTCCCTTTGAAAGTGAATGAACTTGAATGATAGTATACACACGGTGGAATATTTTATGGAAAATATATTGCTGATATTTTGCCTTAGATTTCTAGTGCTGTTCTCTTTGGGGAAGGGCACCAGATTTTCCAAGCTCATTTGAAGTAAGAAGCTCGTATATTGGAGTTAATTTTTTGTGTTTATCTTTCTTTTCAAGGCTTGTAGAGACTTGTTAAGTCCAAAGGGTGTTAAATGTTTTCTTGAAGACTATTGTAAGTTGAAACTTGAAGCTCTTGGGAATTTTGATGATGACATTGGTGAGGAAGTAACTGTTGATGCACAAAGTCTAGTGGATGATTTGAATGATAAAGCTCAGGATAACAAAGAAGAAAAAAAGAAGATTCCCCTGCATTATCAAACTACCTTAATGGTTTGTATTATTGATTTTACACTATCTAATCTTTAAGTTTTTAAATCTTATATGCATTCAGCATCAGCCAAACATTGAAAAGGGGCAAGACTGATGAAAAAGAACACTTCCTGTAACCCAAAACTTAGCACCCATGGTGACACATTTTCTGTGTAGAGGCAATAGGGGTAGGAGCCCAACATGTAAATAGAAATATGCTTTCTGTTAAAAGTCATGCTTTGTTGTAAAATCATAAAATTTCTTTAATAAATTTCTTGTGCATGGTTCTCCATATTACTTGAGTGGCCTAGAGGTCTTAGTTCCAAACAAAATAAACCTTCTGCTAATCATCATAACATTGTGCCAAAAACTGAGGGAAAATTAAGGGTTTTGTCCTTTTGGGTTTGCTTTAGTTGGACCCAATTATTTGCTTTTTTTATTGTTAAGCAGCCCTTTTAATCTAGGACACCTTTTGGCAATGACAAGCTAAAAGCTGGGCAAGCCGGGTGAAAAAGTTTTATTTTTCGGCAACACCTAGTGTATCTTTTCAATATTCTGTCATTTGTCATTAATTAGCATTGCTCCAACTTACTCTTTACTAAGTGTGTTATTCTTGATAATATACATAATAGAAAATTACTGTTTTATGGTCTGTCATGTATATTGGTGACTTCAATTTTTGTTTAGTAAAAACCACCATAGTAGACATTTATGAGTTAAAGATGGCATTTTTAAGTTTTGTTACACCTAAAGATTGTTTAAATTTATGACTGATTTTCTAAGAAAATTAGTTGAAGTTCTTGCACATTTAATGTGCCTGTACCTTTTCCCTTTTATAGGCTTTAGAAAAATGTCAGCATTTCCTGCCATCAAAAGATACAAGGTTAAAACTTCTGATACTTGATGTAATTGAAGTGAGTGTTCAAGCTTTGAAGAGCCAACAAAATGATTTGCTGCCAGCTCTTCACAAGATATGGCCTGCAGTTGCTGCAAGGATAAAGGATCCCAACCAGGTAATGTTACAATGAGTACTTTTATCAAATAATCACTTAAAAAAATTGACAAAATCTATTGGGATTCTGATTTTGCTTTTCCCATGAAGCATCTGACTTTTGGCACCTTGTCATACAGCTCTTACAGCTACTATCCCTTGTTCAAGGTCTCACATCACTTTGTAAGCTATTGAGAGGTCAAAACCATTGCTAAGTCAAGGGTTGTCTGGAATATGTCAGTCGTGATTCAAAATGCAACATAAAGGAGATATCATGGGCATAGAGGAGATCAGTAAAGCAGCCTTTATTTTATGAATGAATTGAGGCAAAACAGAAGGGGCACTGTCCCTAGGATTAACTCATTTCTATCACCCATATCAGTGACTTACTTGGCAACATGGAACATGTGTACCATGCATGAAGTAGGACAGCTGAATCTGAGTTATACACAAGATGTGAATAGAAAAATCACATCCACAAAGGTTAATGAAATGAGGTGGAGATAGGATGGCAAGATGTTGTCTGAAGACTGCTTTGTTTTATTCTCTTGATGTGCTACATATATCAGCATGGTTTGTGCTTATTTGCTGACAGTTAATTCTTCAGCACAGGAGATGACACTACCAACACCTGTTAGCTTCTCTAGGATTATTTGGAAACCTGCAACCTCTTTATTAGGAAAATATTCTTCAGCTCAGATAATCACACCTTCAAAGTTTCTATCAGTAAGAGATGGAGATAGTCTGTTGAGGAACCAAAGGCCTATCAAGGGGCAGATGTCTCCTCTGATCAATACTTTATAAAAGTAACTTTTAAAGTAAAAAAGGAGTGGTATCAGGTTTGCAAGACTGAGAAGAAGAGGAAAATGAAGGAGAGGAAAATATGATATAGAGGAAAGTGGAAACTGCATGAAAGATTCGATATAATAATTTATAAACTGTAGAGAAAATTTTTGCCAATAAGTCCCATTATTTTAAAATATCTTGAATGATTTTCGATTTTAAATTAAACTTTTTCAAGAATATGAGGAGACAATATGAGGAGAAGAGTTACATAACTGGAATTATATCAACTATGCAACAAGATCTGGGGTGATGAGAAGATCCCAGAGGATTGTATGCCTTTAATAGAAAGGGTGATCTGGGTGATATTTGAAACCATATGGGATTTTCCTCAAATGGGGAAGGGGGTAGGGAACAGGCTTTCTGCATAATTTCCTACTTTCAAAGTTTACTGTAAATGTAGATAAGTCTTGAACAATCAAGAAGTTATGAAAACATAGATGAAGAAAGTTTTGTTCAAACAATCTTTTGGTGGTACAACTTGAAAATGGCTTTGAAAAAAAGCAAACATTTGAGCAAACTAAAGCTTTTAATCTGACACTCTTCAGAGTTTAAAACATCAGGACATAGATCAAAACTCTACGCTAGGAAATATAGATACCCAGTTGTGGATCCAACTAACATTTTGCTCACCAGGATGTGATGTTGATAACCAAATAAAACAAAATTGGGATGAAGTTTTATGTTTCATCAATTGTTTATATGACTTTATAAGAAGTCTTTTGTTTATTCGTGACAATTGTATTTTCAAGGTCATTGGTACGAGGACTTTAGAGGTTATTTGTACCATTATTGGTTGTTCTGGTGATTTTCTGAGGCAGAGGGTGAGAAAAGAGATTTTCCCATTTGCAATGGAATTTCTAAAGAAGGAAATATCATCCAGTTTGAAAAGAAGCAACAGCTATAAATTTAGCTCTACTTTCAAGTTACAGAGAAGACTTCTGAGTGTTATTGGAAGTATTGTAGAGAACCTTGGCTTGCCAGATGAAGAACTTATTGATGTAATCTCAGTTTGTTCAAAGTATTTGGATTGTAGGCAACCAGAAGTTCTTCAAATGGTAAAAATCAATCAATATTATCCAGTTATAATTCTGTTAGATAGTTAAAGAGGGCAAAAATATAAATTTATAATTAGATAGCTTCCTACATCATCTATGTGCAATTCATATTCCTAATACCTCCAATGTAATAAAACTTGTGTAGACAGTAGTTTAATAGTTGCCTGAAAATCACTGATTTATGCTGAAACAAAATTGCATCTTTGAGCAATCCTGTTCTATACACTAAAGCTTGTACAGATCTGGCTTGAAGTAACTAGCACTTTAAGGCAGAAAGAATGATTATATGTTATGGTTATACAATGATTATATGGGCCCTAATTTAACCCTAAAATGGCCCTAAAATATATACTCCTATTTTTCTGTAATTATTTCTAGTGTTTCTATATTATTGGATGCATGCAACAGGAGGAAAACACTAAGTGTGATAGATATTGTACAAAAAGGTATTAGCCACCAGGGAAGTTTCAAACAATTTTTGTCAATTTTTATGTGTTTGTGTGCTGAAATCGTCTTCTCAAAATTTAAGTATTCAAAATATGCAAAATTTAGATATCTGCTTCAGAATTCAAATTTTGCATTCCAGGAGGCAATTAAGACACTCAACATTGCGAAGATGGCTGACTGGGATCAAACCTGGCTTGTGCTGACTTCAATGTATTGTCCTAAAGAGCTGGTTGTACCTAACTCACAATTCAAAGATATTTCAATTGACAACAACATATACAAAAGAAACCAATTTGCAGATAATGTTGTTCAAATTTTGTACAGTAGCTCCTAAAATATTAAAAAAGTAGAAAATATTAACTACATTTATGAGTATACAGCGATTAATTACATCACAATGTCGTTTACTGAATGGCTCCTTATAACAACACCCTAGTTTATTATCACCCAAGTTATTTGTTGCTCAAAGAAGCTGGCGTAGCAAATGCTTTGTTTGGTTTCTTGAAAAATGTAATGATTTGAAAATAGATTTATCTAGCTGCTCTAAAACTGTTTTTTGGTACTAGATTGTCTTTCGTCATTTCTTGTGTCTATTTCACGGAAGTATATATATCATATAATTTATTTACATATTTTGTATAGAGGAAATGTTTTTTGGAATTGTTTGATGGGCATGTGAAAATTAGTAATTAAGAGCTTGATGAGCCGCAATGTGAGGACATTACTTTCTTGCAACAGCATTATGCATAAGGATGTTTATTTGGCACTTGTAAATGTAAATATTTTAATATTTCGACAAAAAGGGCCGAAAATGTTAAGTTACAAATGCCTTGATAAAGGTTATCATTTCGGCCAATCGCTGAGGTGGCACCATCAAATGCATTAATGCTTTCTGCTTACTTACCAAATCTTTGGCTGTTTTCTGTCTATTGTACCAATACTAAAAATTTTAGTCTTGACTGTAGCAATATATGTTCAGCCACTGAAATATGCTGCCTAGTGCCTTCAAGCTACTTGCCAGTCTGCCATAAACTGTAAATTGTTTTGTAAGTGAATAAGACCCCTTATGTAAATCAATAATAACAGAATAAAATAGGATAAAAATTGCTTACATTGAATACCTAAGGGTATGTGTGAATATATGTAATTTTCAAATGACAGAATTATTAATACTTAAAAGAAAATATATAAAATATTATACACAATTAGGTTGTTGTCCTACAGATGTGTACTACATGAATTACCTTTTCATTTCTAATTTGAAGATAAATATTACTTATTTGCATAATATTCACTTTTTGAAGGCCTGTTGGAGAGTTTCCTACTACTGCAGAATTTCTGAAACCTAGGATGCTCCTGAAGTAAGTAAAAAAACAAAAGATTAACTCCATCTTTTAAATTAGATATTCCATTTTTCAAAGCTCTCCAGGTGATTTCATCGTACGATCAGAAAATTTCTGTGCAGTATTATTTAGTTGCCGTTTATTCAAAATGAGTATTATAATGTTATAAAGTTCTTATATTGTCCATGTTCTTAATTGAACTGATTTTGTCAATTATTGGACTCGTCCAATGTCAGTGTCAGTCAATAGAAGTTAAACTTAGCCTATTGCCAATTGTTTTTTATATCGCTTGCACTTCTTGTTATTTAGTCTTAAATCAAGCCTGTGTTCTCATTAAAGTCAGTATTTTGAATAAAGTTACTTTTGTTTGCTGAAATAAGTTTTGAGTTTGTGACTGATCTTTTCTTCATTGGGGGTGGTTTTTGCGTCTTTGTGGCAGATGATGTTAAATGGCACTATTCAGCTTGATAGGAAGAAGAGCAGGCAAGACCATGAAAATGGACACAACATNATGCAAAATTTGAATTCTGAAGCAGACATCTAAATTTTGCATATTTTGAATACTTAAATTTTGAGAAGATGATTTCAGCACACAAACACATAAAAATTGACAAAAATTGTTTGAGAACTTCCCTGGTGGCTAATACCTTTTTGTACAATATCTATCACACTTAGTGTTTTCCTCCTGTTGCATGCATCCAATAATATAGAAACAATAGAAAAAATTACAGAACAATAGGAGTATATATTTTAGGGCCCATATAATCATTGTATAACCATAACATATAATCATTGTTTCTGCCTTAAAGTGCTAGCTACTTCAAGCCAGATCTGTACAAGCTTTGGTGTATAGAACAGGATTGCTTTAAGACGCAAATATCAGTGATTTTCAGCATTTCAGCATAAATCAGTGATTTTCAGGCAACTATTAAACTACTGTCTACACAAGTTTTATAAAATTGGAGGCATTAGGAATATGAATTGCACATAGATGATGTAGGAAGCTACCTAATTAGAAATTTATATTTTTGCCCTCTTTAACTATCTAACAGAATTATAACTGGATAATATTGATTGATTTTTACCATTTGAAGAACTTCTGGTTGCCTACAATCCAAATACTTTGAACAAACTGAGATTACATCAATAAGTTCTTCATCTGGCAAGCCAAGGTTCTCTACAATACTTCCAATAACACTCAGAAGTCTTCTCTGTAACTTGAAAGTAGAGCTAAATTTATAGCTGTTGCTTCTTTTCAAACTGGATGATATTTCCTTCTTCAGAAATTCCATTGCAAATGGGAAAATCTCTTTTCTCACCCTCTGCCTCAGAAAATCACCAGAACAACCAATAATGGTACAAATAACCTCTAAAGTCCTCGTAGCAATGACCTTGAAAATACAATGGTCACGAAATAAACAAAAGATTTCTTATAAAGTCATATAAACAATGAAACATAAAACTTCATCCCAAATTTTGTTTTATTTGGTTATCAACATCACATCCTGGTGAGCAAAAATATCAGTTGGATCCACAAATCTATATTTCCTAGCGTAGAGTTTTGATGTTTTAAACTCTGAAGACTATCAGATTAAAAGCTTTAGTTTGCCCAAATGTTTGCTTTCTTCAAAGCCATTTTCAAGTTGTACCACCAAAAGATTGTATGAACAAAACTTTCTTCATCTACATTTTCATAACTTCTTGATTGTTCAAGACTTATCTACATTTACAGTAAACTGCAAAAGTAGGAAATTATGCAGCAAGCCTGTTCCCTACCCCCTTCCCCATTTGAGGGAAATCCCATATGGTTTCAAATATCACCCAGATCACCCTTTCTATTAAAGGCATACAATCCTCTGGGATCTTCCCATCACCCCACATCTTGTTGCATAGTTGATATAGTTCCAGTTATGTTACTCTTCTCCTCATATTGTCTCCTCATATTCTTGAAAAAGTTTAATTTAAAGAAAGTTTCAAAAATATAAACTATAAATATAAACTAGGCAGCAATATTAAAATCCCGAAAATCATTCAAGATATTTTCAAATAATGGGACTTAATGGCAAAAATTTTCTCTACAGTTTATAAATTATTATATCGAATCTTTCATGCAGTTTCCACTTTCCTCTATATCATATTTTCCTCTCCTTCATTTTCCTCTTCTTCTCAGTCTTGCAAACCTGATACCACTCCTTTTTTACTTTAAAAGTTACTTCTATAAAGTATTGATCAGAGGAGACATCTGCCCCTTGATAGGCCTTTGGTTCCTCAACAGACTATCTCCATCTCTTACTGATAGAAACTTAATCAATCACATTGAAGGTGTGATTATCTGAGCTGAAGAATATTTTCCTAATAAAGAGGTTGCAGGTTTCCAAATAATCCTAGAGAAGCTAACAGGTGTTGGTAGTGTCATCTCCTGTGCTGAAGAATTAACTGTCAGCAAATAAGCACAAACCATGCTGATATATGTAGCACATCAAGAGAATAAAACAAAGCAGTCTTCAGACAACATCTTGCCATCCTATCTCCACCTCATTTCATTAACCTTTGTGGATGTGATTTTTCTATTCACAACTCGTTTATAACTCAGATTCAGCTGTCCTACTTCATGCATTGTACACATGTTCCATGTTGCCAAGTAAGTCACTGATATGGGTGATAGAAATGAGTTAATCCTAGGGACAGTGTCCCTTCTGTTTTGCCTCAATTCATTAATAAAATAAAGGCTGCTTTACTGATCTCCTCTATGCCCATGATATCTCCTTTATGTTGCATTTTGAATCACGACTGACATATTCCAGACAACCCTTGACTTAGCAATGGTTTTGACCTCTCAATAGCTTACAAAGTGATGTGAGACCTTGAACAGGGGATAGTAGCTGTAAGAGCTGTATGACAAGGTGCCAAAAGTCAGATGCTTCATGGGAAAAGCAAAATCAGAATCCCAATAGATTTTGTCAATTTTTTTAAGTGATTATTTGATAAAAGTACTCATTGTAACATTACCTGGTTGGGATCCTTTATCCTTGCAGCAACTGCAGGCCATATCTTGTGAAGAGCTGGCAGCAAATCATTTTGTTGGCTTTTCAAAGCTTGAACACTCACTTCAATTACATCAAGTATCAGAAGTTTTAACCTTGTATCTTTTGATGGCAGGAAATGCTGACATTTTTCTAAAGCCTATAAAAGGGAAAAGGTACAGGCACATTAAATGTGCAAGAACTTCAACTAATTTTCTTAGAAAATCAGTCATAAATTTAAACAATCTTTAGGTGTAACAAAACTTAAAAATGCCATCTTTAACTCATAAATGTCTACTATGGTGGTATTTACTAAACAAAAATTGAAGTCACCAATATACATGACAGACCATAAAACAGTAATTTTCTATTATGTATATTATCAAGAATAACACACTTAGTAAAGAGTAAGTTGGAGCAATGCTAATTAATGACAAATGACAGAATATTGAAAAGATACACTAGGTGTTGCTGAAAAATAAAACTATTTCACCCGGCTTGCCCAGCTTTTAGCTTGTCATTGCCAAAAGGTGTCCTAGATTAAAAGGGCTGCTTAACAATAAAAAAAGCAAATAATTGGGTCCAACTAAAGCAAACCCAAAAGGACAAAACCCTTAATTTTCCCTCAGTTTTTGGCACAATGTTATGATGATTAGCAGAAGGTTTATTTTGTTTGGAACTAAGACCTCTAGGCCACTCAAGTAATATGGAGAACCATGCACAAGAAATTTATTAAAGAAATTTTATGATTTTACAACAAAGCATGACTTTTAACAGAAAGCATATTTCTATTTACATGGTGGGCTCCTACCCCTATTGCCTCTACACAGAAAATGTGTCACCATGGGTGCTAAGTTTTGGGTTACAGGAAGTGTTCTTTTTCATCAGTCTTGCCCCTTTTCAATGTTTGGCTGGTGCTGAATGCATATAAGATTTAAAAACTTAAAGATTCGATAGTGTAAAATCAATAATACAAACCATTAAGGTAGTTTGATAATGCAGGGGAATCTTCTTTTTTTCTTCTTTGTTATCCTGAGCTTTATCATTCAAATCATCCACTAGACTTTGTGCATCAACAGTTACTTCCTCACCAATGTCATCATCAAAATTCCCAAGAGCTTCAAGTTTCAACTTACAATAGTCTTCAAGAAAACATTTAACATCCTTTGGACTTAACAAGTCTCTACAAGCCTTGAAAAGAAAGATAAACACAAAAAATTAACTCCAATATACGAGCTTCTTACTTCAAATGAGCTTGGAAAATCTGGTGCCCTTCCCCAAAGAGAACAGCACTAGAAATCTAAGGCAAAATATCAGCAATATATTTTCCATAAAATATTCCACCGTGTGTATACTATCATTCAAGTTCATTCACTTTCAAAGGGAATGAAAATCATTTTCTAAAGTAGCTTTGATGTTGAAGCTTCAACATTAAAAAGAAGCACTGTTTGGACTTACTATAAACCAAAGAGGTTTCAAGTGCTAATGGGGAATACAGATTTAGTGACCTCTTTTAATTTTCTCTATATCTAAGAACTAATTAGGAAGGTTTTGAAATATAAAATGCTAGATAAACAGCAGCAAATAATGAGTTCAAATCAGAGTTTCTCACTGCACAATAAGCATGACCCTTTTGCTTTGGGGAAATCTAAAACAATATCCAGCAGAGCAATTGATCACTGTTAGAAATCAAATAAGATGCTACATGCAAAATGGTGGGGAAAACTAGACAGGAGGAAATTGATTGAAAAAGAGAGCATCTCTTGGACATTTTTTTAAAAATCACAGTTATAGGAAAACAGCAAAACAAATTGCTGGTGATCATAGATGTAGGAAGCATTTTCAGAGTAGGAGATACAATAGATAAAAAAGGGTGTGCCTGTGAGCATCGAACAGGCTCTAAACCTCTGTTTTGGGAAAAGTGCCACTGGTTCCCACCACTTTGTTGATGATTTGACATGAAATTGAAACATAAATCAAGAAAAAATTGTCTTTTGGTTAATTTGTTGTTATGTTATGTTGGTGGTTAATTTTTATCAGTGAATAGAACCAAATTGTTGTGAATTTTTCCATCTGACTTAAAAAATTATGTAACTGTGAACTGTCACTTAAATACAAATATTTATAAAGGTTACATCCTAATGTCTTCCCTAAAGATACCTAGCTAAAAGTAAAAAACGGCAATAAAATGCTGACAAAAAGCAAGGCATAAATTAAGATTTTTCTGATTACAAAAACCAAGCTGCCTTACCTTTTGATATTCATGTTCCTGTCCGCCTTTCTCCTTAGTCAACTCATCTCCAAACCAAGTATTTACTGATGAAACAAAACTCTTTAAAACTTTCATTAATGAAAATGTCACTTCCTCTTGATAAAAGTCAAGGCAGTTGAACACATCCTGTATGACATCAGCAACAATTGACAAAATCTCCACATTAGAATAAACCAGCATCATAGATAGCACACTGGGTGCGGATGAAAACAAAGTTAAATTCCTCAAACTCAATGATACAGAATTAACAAGATAATCAGCATTCTTTAACAACAGGGTGGCAATGGATTTCTCCCCACAGTTGTGACTAACAATATCTAGAGCATTTTGTGCACATCTTGCAATTTGGGCATTTTGGTCACCAAGTTTCTCCAGAACTGGATATAAAACTTTGATAAGATAAACATTAAACTTTTCCATCATTACCCCAGAGCAGACAGAAACTCCATTTAACATAAGACAAATCAACTGAATATTACTATTAATCTGTGTGACAGGTATCCCTTGCTCCCAGTAAATAAGGTCTTTGCTATTCTTTTCTGCTTTCATCAGACCTAACTGGTACTCAAGAACACCCTTTTCTCCAATATCCGCAGATATGACATTTGTGGTTGGCAAATACCAGAATTCTTCACGAAAAAATGTTGACAACACTTGCTCTATAACAGAATTACATATAGTCTTTGTTTTTGAATCATGTCTGGAATACAAAATTTCGTTCAGAAGAATAACATTTTCCTTTCTTTGATGTGGTGAAGAAACAAATTTGTCCAGAAGATAATCTAAAATGATTTGAAGATCTGAAAATGTGCCTATTGCCAAGCAAATCTTTCTTATCATCGAGAAAATTCTAGGGTCTTTGAAATTTTTAAAACGATATAACTCAGCATCAGTGTGGTTTGTGCCATCATAATACTTGTTACTGACCAGTTCTTCTGACGATATAGTGTTTCTTTCTTCCACAATTTTTACATCATTTGTGTCAAGTTCCAATATCTGCAACAAAAGGATTTCCAATTAAAATTTATCTGCTGCAAGACTGTAAAGTATCATTTCTGCGCAGGGAAGGCCAGAACAATAATTTTGAAATTTGAGGATAACAAACCTTTCCTGCAAAACCATGCACAGAATATGAAGCAAAGGATTTTAAAGGGACCTTGTATTCTTTGTTTTTTTGTTATCAAAAGTCAGAAATTAAAATGTTGTAATATTTGAAGGGAACATTACAGGATAAACAAATATTGTGCATGGAATCTATCACCGATTCTTAATAATCCATAATTTTTTTGACCATGTGAGAATGAGTTGACAAGTGAGTTAAGAGTGTCAAATAGTTCTAAAACCACTGGAAATAATAGAATTTGTGCAAAAATTGAAGAAAATGGGTGGCAAGAATTTTGTCAGACACTGTATTGAAAACCAGAAACTCTCACCTGAATGAAAGATTTGATTATTTTTTCTAACATAACCACCGAGTTTAAAACTTTGGATATTTGACTTTCAAGGAGATTGAAATAGCCAGCAATTATATTCAGAACCATCAGTTTTTGATCATCATCTGCTCCTCTCATTATTCTAGGCAGAGCCAACAACTTTTCATAAAGCTTTCCTTCGATGAATGTGAATAATGAGCCTCCATCTAAAAATAATATTTGTGAGAAACTTAAATTTTGTGTTATGACCCAAAGCTGTCTGTAGCTCAGTCAAAAAATGGAAGGCAGTATGTTGGTAACACTGGGTTACGTGAAGTGTTCATAGTATAACAAGAAGTTTTTGCATTTGAGTTTTTGCATACAAGAGGTATATGCACTTTGTAAATATTTAGAAATAGATTGTTTCTCATCATTCAACAATTAGAAAATATATTGCAAGACTGGCCCCCGAGGATCAATATTTAGTTTCATTGGGCTTGGAATGAAAAAATCGAAATTTTCTTTATTAATGTTCTCTGTAAATTCTTTGCTCCTGATTCCGATGGTGAAGTTCTTTTTTTAGAATTGTTAACTGCTTTGAAGCTACAACGCTTCAAAATTGTGATTTCAAGACTTTTTGTGCAAAAATCTGTGTGCAATCTGTGAGGAATTTTAGGAATGTGTGACGCAAGAAGATTTACAAATCGCGGAAGTGATGCAGGCTTCAGTACTGAACACTGTATTTCAAAGTGGGAATCGCGAAGTGGGTGGAAATAGTGTGATATTTGTGCTCTAAATGACACTAGCTATCTAAGTACAAATCATATGCAAGGTATTTTCTTACGAAAATTTCAAGCCCATATGAAATAAGCAAACTTTTTGAGTTCAGTTTGTAGCAAGACTTCATGTCGATCATTTTACCTTGTGAATTATCGAGCGCGTCAAATAAGAATGCTTTTGCAAACAGTTATACAAATTATGAGTAAAAGTCAGTAGCCCACAACTTGATTCTAAGGAGCAAATTGACCAAGGGAAAGAGTTTTATAGAACCACACAAATTGCACATTTTAGGGCACTTTCCCCACTTTCCAACTTGCGTTGCCACTGTCAAAGAATCAGTTATCGACACGACCCCCAAGAAGGGATAAATTGCCCCAGGGCCTCGTGGTCAGGGGGCCTCAAAAGTAATGAAATCCATTTTTAAATGAAATTGATTAAAAAAATTAACAAAATTATACCTTAAAAAGGTAAACTTTTTAAACGTTTGCATGAAAGAATCAATTTATGCTAATCTAAAATTATTTTGCCTTTCCGTTTTGGCCTTGTCTTTCCAATTCGCCTAGGGGTCTACAGAACCTTTCAGCATCCCTGGTTATCATAGTTGCATCATTTTCATGGTATCGCGATCCAAAATTGACATGAAAACAACTTGCGGTATCAGGGACCTTGTACCCCAGATAATTTTAAACATTTATTCATATCTTATCTTTTTTAGCATATCAAACTGCCTACCTCTACTAAGTTACATGATTGTATTGCGATCAAAAAGTTAAATTATGACAATAACTACTTAGAGGCCTTGAACCTAGTACCCCAGTCTATAAAAAGCATAAGGGGGATTTTTTCAGCGTCATTTCATATCCTATCTTTTTCAGTGTATCAAAGTGCCTATGACTACCAAGTTCCGTGCTGGTACCGCGATCTAGTGGCTAGATTATGACAATTACTACTTAGAGGTTTGGAACTTAGTATCCCATTCTATAAACAGCACAAAGGAAACTTTTTCAGCGTCTATTCACACGCTATCTTTTTCAGCGTATCAAACTGCCTATCTCTATCAAGTTCCATGCTGGTATCACGTTTTATACAATTGGTAACTTTTTATCTTCTTACAGCCCTCACTATGGCTGAATTGGCTATGTAAATCTTGATGCGTCACTCGCCCCAGCCTCTTTTTGCATGCGACCAACCTGCAAAAACCCCCAGAAATTGCTATTTATGGGCTTCAAATGAAAAAAAACTAAACTTAATTTTGAAATCAGCAATGATTAGTCTATCAGAATCAAGAATAAAAAAAATTTCCATTTTTTTCATTTCAGTAGCACTTTAACGGTCCCATGATAATGGCAGTTCTTAATTTTGCTCTCTTCCTAAGGTAATTTGCACTTTCCTGACTAGAGCAGTCACAATAGTGTTGGGTATTTTTTGTGCTGTTTTCTAATTTAAAATGAATAATGGCAAAAAGTAGTTTCAAAATGTCATAAAATATAATGTATTGTCATCTTCAGGAAACATTTTATGACAGATTTGCCATATCATGAAATTCTTAGTTTTTCATTGCCAAATCGGATAATAGTTTAGGCTTTGGTACCTTGGGGTCAGGCACAAATTCAATGGGTAATGACAGACCAATATGTACTCAATATTTCATACTTGAACAAAACATTATCTCAATGGTAGATTGAACATACCTTTCTCAATGATAGTTTGAACTTTCTTTATTGCTTTACCAACTTCTGTGGAAACCTTTTCGTGCTCATCATTCTGCATACTTGCTAATATCTCCAGAAGGACAGGTGTACATGAGCTCATTGAGATACTACACTCTAAAATTATTGTCTCTGCAAATACAATGGCTGCCTGCCTAACTTTGAAACTTGAGTCACATGCCACCCTATGAATAACTTTTTCAATCAAAATGTGCAACTTTGATGAAGTTTCTTTCATCCAATCATCATTTCTCTGAACCATGATATCATTTCTCTGCCTTTCAACTCTAGGTGTATGGCCTGTTTTCTTTTCTAAAGTGCTGTTTTGTTGAATTTCATGCATCCTTTGGAATAAGCTATCTTTAATTTCAGTACTTTTTACAAAACTAAATTTCGAGTCACTCATCACCAAAGTAACAAAATCTTTGAAGGATTCAGTGATAGCAGCCACAAGGTTCTGTCCTACATTTACTTGATCTGTTAAAATTCTGCTAAATGACAAAGAAATTCCTGGAATGAAGCTACAGAAAACATCACTTATCATTTGAAGTTCTGGTTCATTCAATGCTTTATGTTTAAGTGTAAGATAACCCAGACATTCCAAGGCTTTCAGTCTAAGATTTCTCTCGACCTCGTATTCTAAAAGAGCCAGAAGCAAAGAAACTGCATGCCCAAGTCTTGGGAGCATTCCTTTGTTAAACAAACATACAAGAACTTTCTTGCATGAATTTTGTAGCAAGTTGGTGATGCACACTGTAATACTTAGTTTGACCTCCTCTGGTATTAATGCAATCATCTCCTTTCCATTTGGTTGTTTCATTGAGCTCAAAAGAACACAAAAAATATCAAACATTTCCATAAAGAGTACCTCGGACTTCGTGATTACCATTTCAAACACAATTGCCATACACTCTAGAGTCTTTATGAGCAAGTTTTCATTCTTTCTGTCTATTCTTTGGATGGTTAGCTTCAATGGAAATATGATATATTCAGCCATGCCTTTTTCATTGAGGAGGCTTCTCTCAACAGATTGCAAGCCCACTCTTAGATTATTAAGGCTCCTGACAGTGGGTTGCTGTGCAACTTGTATACACAATGGCTTAAGGTAGCGAAATGCATCATCCGCATTCATGCTTAGCACTGGAGTTCCTACCAGACGTCCTTCAACTGTTTAATACAATCTGGCCTAAAAATGACAAAATTTCTGGATTAGTAGAAAAATTCAAAGCAAAGATTCGAAATTACCAGTTTGAATTTGAGAAGTTTAATTTCTTTTTGTTCATATGCTGAACATCATGGAGGACATTTGCTTGTGTCAGTGCTTATATTTGTACTAATTCATCTGTCATGATGACAATAATGTACAGCAATGAATTTTGTAGCACTTCAGAAAACCTCTATTACAAACATTCTATTCATTGAATGCTGGAGGAAATGTTACCACAATAGTTGGTTGCCTTTGGTCTGCTACTTCGTGCATGACAGTCATTTAGGGATTTAGGGATGCAGATTTAGGAAATGTTGTGCAAGACATTTGCATATACTATACAAGGGCTGTTGCTACTGTGGGAGCTGAGGTCACCACTGCCCTCAGACACTTTAATGTATATTCTTAAAAACATCATGTCATGCATATTTTGTCAGATAAAATTGCATGTCAACTCGCACAACATTTCCTAAATCTGTTGCATTGTGTGAGTTGACTAAATAATTACGAATACACTCATTTTCTTTTATAAGAAACTGGCTGTAAGAAACAAGTACTGGACAGTCAGAAAAAATTAAGAAACTTCAGCACTCAAAGCAAAAAAATTAAGAAATGATAAAACTGAGAACAACATAATTTTGTAAAATCCAAGAACAATATTGCCCTGTTGGCCTAGAACTTAAGACACAAGAGATAAAAACATACTTCCCAAAAATAAATACAGCATCGGAATGGAAGCGAATCTCTTGACATGATAAAAAAGGTCACAAACATTTCACAACATCATTCATGACATCATAATCAATAAACTCTTAAGAAACAATGAGTATTGAAATTTCCAGAGCATTAAGAAACTGGAGTACTCAACATCGACCTTTGTTTCTTATAAAAAAGGAGTATCATTGACTATAAATACTGTGTTGATGCTAGCAGTGCTGACATATCTCATCCCGATTAGCAGTGCTCGCTATGCCACGAACACAATGCCTTGACACTTACACATGATATTGGTTGTTATCTTAGTTTATACTCCAAATCCTCGAATTAGCACCCTGGGTTTATTTATTTTTAATATTTTTGGATGGGGGCCTATTTGAGGGAAAGGGGCTTATACGAGCAAGGGGCTTATGAAATTGTAGTAGACATTAAAAAGACATTATTAAAAGACCTCATTTATTTTAGTGGGAATTTCTTTATGAGCATTTAATTAATAACTACCAAAAGTATGAATTAGTTGTGGTAATTCAAGAAAACGCCATATAGGCAACCTCAGATGGCAACAAATCATCATTATGGAAGAGTCCAATTTGAGAATTTACGGTAGCAGTGGGGGCTTATGCGAGGGGGGGGGCTTATTGAACATTTTTAGGTATAGGGTGGGGGCTTATTTGAGGGGGTGCTTTTAGAGGGAAGGGGGCCAATTCGAGGATTTACGGTATGTTAATCAATAGTCAACAATCTTCTGTTCAAAAAATTGCAATTTCACTCTAAATGCAGTTTTCTTTTGGAAAACGATATTATTGAAAAAAGATTCAGTTCTAAAAAGGCGCTAAGAAGAAGGGTTTTATCCTGAAACTTATTCTTGGTCCTCTCTACTTCTACTTCTGCTTTGGTGCCCAGGGCCTAAAATAAGCGTGAATCTGACACACTTTGTGGAGTTGTAAATTAAAATTGTGGAACTGTGATTGTAGAAAGTGTGGATTTGTAAATAATGCTTGTTCTTAAAAGTGCAGCATAAAATACTAATCGAAATGCCTAAGAAAGAAATGGGAACATTTTTTCAATTCGAAGTGAATGCCCAATCCCAGCCTTATTGCACTCATTTTTTATAAGAAAATTGGGATAAGAAATAAGCAATGGACAATAAAAAAGAATTAAGAAACTTCAGAACTCGAAGCTTGAGTACATGCGGAGAAAAATCAATTGCGCTTTATGATATTGTTGTGTGCTTTTTGAAGTAATATGGACTCTGTATACAGCTTTGATTTTAGGACATCATTTCAATCTAGTTTGCTTTTATGATTTGCTTCAAAAAAGACACTGAGCCTAAAGACCAAGAGTAATGTATTTTGGGGTTTAAAGATTTCAGTAGATTTCAGAAAAAGCTATAAAGCAATTCAACTAAGGTGCAGCCACTTAATCTCAAACAATTGACGAATTGTGCATTTTATGATACAAGTATAAAATTTGGTACAAGTACACAATTTGACATGCTGATTAAGATGAGATGCAGACCCCACTTCAAAAATGCCCCCCCCCCAAATATATTCTTAGACTGGGGTACCTGCACCCAGTCCTTCTTTTTGCCTTCTTCCATATCTTTTAAACTGTGCAAGATATAAATCTGAAATTTAGTTTTCTGGCATAATTTGACATGCTGATTAAGATGAAATGAAGACCCCGCTTCAAAAACGCCCCAAAATGCTATTTTTAGACTGGGGTACCTGTACCCACTACTTTTTTGCCTTCCTCCATATCTTTTGAACAATGCAAGCGATAAACTCGAAATTTACTTTTTTGACGTACTTTGACATGCTAAAAAAGATAAAATGCAGACCCCACTTCAAAAATGCCCCCAAAAACTATTTTTAAACTGGGCTACTTGTACCAAGTCCCCTTTTGAGTCTTCCTTCATATTAGCCTGTCTTCATATCTTTTGAATTATTGAAGATATATATATACCAAAAAAATTTTGTCTGGCATAATTTGACATGCTAAATAAGATGAGATAGAAACCTCGTATCAAAAGCGCTCCTAAAAAGCTTTTTTTAGACTGGGATCCTTATCCAGTTCTTTCTTGGTCTTCTTCTATATCTTTTTTGACATGCTGAGAAAGATGAGATTTCCCTAAAAACGCACCCAAAAGCTTTGTAACCACGAAGAAGCTGACACTAGAATGTTTGTCTACGTGAAGGGTATTGCCAGTTCAGGACATGGAAGAGTCGCAATCGAAACCGTCGACACTGATGTTATCATAAAAGCAATTGTATTGTTTCTTCATCTCAGCTGAGTACAGCTTTGGGTCGAGTTTGGGACAGGAGAAGACAAAAGACGGTTACCACTCCATGATTACACAAATTCACTTAAAAAAAGGGTTTGCTTTGGCTTCTTATTTAGGTTGGCAGCCACATATTTTGTGGTTGGCAGCCAAATGCAGCCAGCTAAACGCAGTATACAAAAAAGCTAAATTGATGCTAATCATTGGGAGTGATATCGTAATCAAAATTTGCTTTGTAGGTTACAAAAGTTTTCACTTGCTTTTATCAAAACTGTCTGTTATCTTGTTATCTGTTAATTTGTTTCATCATTCATCATTTGCAATTTTGAAATTATTTTAAAAAGTTTTGAATATTATCTGTGCAAAAATTTTTGTTTCCTTTTCATTTTCGTTGTTTTTTAAACATGCGGCCAGAATTCAGCCAAATTTTGCTTCTTCGGCCAAATCAATTTGTGGGGGCCAAGGGCTTTTGAGAAACTGCCAAAATGGAGAAATTTGACCATCAAACCATGAATCTAAATTGCCTTTTTATTTATGAAGAATGAATACACTGGGTTGTCAAAAAGGCCAAATTGCAACTCTGGCTACTTTTGATATTCTGAGCATGCATTAGCCTCTTTCTCGAGCAGGGTTGCCTTGATTTGAAATCTAGCATAATTTTTGCAAATCTAGCACAATCTCATGACAAATTTGGCGTAATTCCAAAATTGAGATCTGGTGTGTGGTTTCTGCATTACAAACAAGATGGGGGTAAAGGTCATGCTTTCAAGCTGGGCGAAAAGAGAATACTGGGCGAAAAGAGAATAAGAAGAAACAAGCACAATTGTACATCAGTGAGAGAAGAGTTTATTTGCCATCTGTAATGAGGTTTTCGTTTAGAATATCAAAACTTTTAGAAGAACATATTTGATGGCAAAAATTATTTGATGAGCTGAATGCAGTTAAGAACTTTCCATAAGTAAAAGAGACTTGAGAAAGCTTCACCCAGAAAGCTTTGTCCCGGACAAAATATTTCATTCAATCATGCATTAAATTTTGAGAAATAAACGACTAAGATCGCAGAGATCTGAGACTTGTTCTCAGAGGAATTCTACCAGACGATGACAATGGCTCGGATTCTCGCAGCAAACCCTAGTTCTATCAATGTAGAGATGCTGATTCCCACCTACAACAAGATAGAGGCAGGTGGGGAAAGCAGCATAGCTCCAGAAAAACTTAACTAGGTTTCTGTTGCAATGAATATGTTTGATCTAGCAAGTATCGAGTTCCGAGAAAAGCTGCAAATATATGGCTCCCAAAAACCAAAAAACCCCAAAGTCTGGCAAGAAAGACTGATTTATGGGAATTTTTGAAGGTGAAAAGAAATAGAAATAACTTTGACAGTGTTCCGAACAAACCATGTTAAAGAGTTTCCTTTCGATAACTTTTTGCTCACATATTAAGACATCGCTATATGTAGCTAATTTTCTTATTAAATCCATATATTGTAAAGAAGGACATGCTATTTGCACTATGATGGCAGTTTCTATATTTGCCGCCCCCATGATGCCAATCCCAGCAAAATACCACGCCCAATTTTTATAAAAAGTGTGGATCTGTAAAAATTTCTTATTTTAGGCCCTGTTGGTGCCTCTGCTGGTTCTTACAACACGCTTCACTTCTAAAGAATAGGAGAAGGTATTACTAACCATTATGCCATTATATCAGCCGATCTTTCAAAGGCAAACTTTGAATACTGACATGGTGAACTTCTGATAACATCAGGCAAATACTTTACGCAAATAAAAGCTGTCAATATTGTGGAGGTTGCAACTTTCTGTGCTCATGCTGCTGCCATTGGATTGAACGATGACTAGTCTCTTTTCGGCGAAAATACAGACTCGTTTTCATTTCCTGTTGTTTTGGTCCATATCATTTGTTTTGGTATTCGTAGATGTCTATGTGTTTATTACTTTGTTACAATTTTTTGTAGTATCTGTAACTGAAAATGGAATGACATCTAAGAAACATCTTATATAAAGCATATCAAACACATTTTGGAGTTCGAACTTATCTGAAGTATTTTCAAATTTATATGTGTCCGTCAGCATTTTTAAGAAAGTAATGCTTAAATCCTGTTTTAATTTATTATTTTCGGTCCCGCCCTTTGAATTAGTTTGATAGAACGTTACTTGCGTTCAATTTCTTGCAATCATTCAAAGCGTTTTATGATTTTTTTTAGGCACACTTTGTTGCGTTTAGTTGAAATTCAGTGCTTGGAATTTATGAGGCCCCTAGACCTCATGTCCCTGGGGCAGTTTGCCCCTCCTTGTCCCCCTCTCAGTGGCCCTGTTCATATTTAACGTATCCCTTTTACAGGGCCCTGTTAGTATATGTTAACCTCCAAGTGTCTTAATCTAAACTATTCTCTTGACTCTATATATGTAAGTGAAGGATTTTTTCGCCAAGGAGTCACATGAAAAAATTTCCTGGGTTTTACAAACTAATTTGAGAGAGTGCCCCGTCTAGCCATAGCGCCCCTGCTATGATGCTTTACGTAATTATTCTGTATTGCCTGTTCTTGTGTGTACACAATAAAGCCTCTGTCTGAACTTTTAAGCCATTGCCACGTTTTCTCCTTATCGACTTTGCATGGCATTTCCCTTATAAACTGACCGTATCTATTCTTTCTCATCCATTTATTCTTAAGATCATCAGCCACTTGCTCTTTGAATTCATTGTTTGGCATGGTACTATCAGTGCAAATTGTCCCTTTAGCACAAACTCCTCTAAGCAACTGCTCTCTGGAATTCAGAACATACTTACCTAACTTGTTCTCTTCTCCCTTAACTACCAGTTCGACATTGCTAAATCCTCTAACCCCTTCTTTTTTCTTCATGTACAGCCTGTCAACGTCGCTTTTTGGGGTGAAATGCTCCGTACATAGTCATGGTTTTTTTCGATTTTCTATCAATCTTCTTCAATCGCTGCTTTTCCACTCTAATATCCCAACACTGTATCTGAATATTGCCACTGCCCAGTGCCCACGTATTAATCGCTATTACTTTGTTTTTACCATTCAGTTTTGATTTTAGGATTAATCTCAACCCTCGTTTATACTCCTTTACTATCCTGTTCTTCATCTAATCTTCTTTTTCTTGTTAAGCTTAACTATACCTAGTTATGTGTAGCTTTTCTCCCCCACTTCCTTAATTTCATCACCATTTGGGATTTCTATTCCTTAACTTCTAATTATTTTTCCTCTATTTAATATATAAGAACATCATATTTCTTAATCCCGTTCCATTCCAATATCAGTGCTGAATATATGTACTGTCCGCACTAACAAATCAATCCGTTCTTCATTTTTGGCATAGGGCTTTAAGTTGTCCATGAAGAGCAGATGATTTGAGCTGAATTGCTCTTTCCCTAGTCATACCCTGATTTTACTTCGACTGGTATTATCGTCATCGGGATCATACTCACTGCAAATAATAGTGGTGATTAACTGTCCCCTTGAAAGATTCCCCATTTAACATGAACATCCCCAAGGTCCTCTCCATTTGACGTAAATGATAGTTTCCAGCTAGCCATACTCGTCTCCAAAAATTTTCTCACATTTTCAGTAACTCCAAAATTTTCATGCACTCTTTTATCCAAGAATGGGGGACAGAATCATAAGCTTTCTTGTAGTCCACCCATGCCATAGCATAGCAAGAATCGTGTGCCTCTTTCGACAATCTTTCAATATTGTTTTGTCAATCAGCAGTTGATCTTTCGTCCCCCGACATTTGCGTTTACACCCTTTTTGTTCATCTGGTAGTAGATTCTCTCTATTTTGAACATAGCTTCGGTAGAGCGTAGACGTGAATGAAACTCCAAATCGTTGATTTTATCTTTAAATATATACAAAACGTGACTATATACAACTATAACGTAAACGTAACTTGTTAGCCCATCATGAATTTGTAGCGTGACTTTATCGTAACTTCACTACTTCAAACAACTTAACCTTACAATATAGGGCGTGAATATATAACGTAAGAAGACTGGGACGAGTAGGAATCCCCCATGATGGCTTGGGCTGCGAAATATATATTGACTTCACAACATACTCCCCCGATTGAGTTGCCTGCACTCAATTTACAATAATACATATTAATCAATCATTATTCATCAACAAACGTAAGAACATTTTTCTTTAAGCAAGCTGAAACTGTAAGCGTATACATATTGAAATATTTACATATTGTCTTTTCTAAGAAACTCTCCTAACTTTGCAGCTGCGCGCTTAGATCGCGTAATAGTTCTATCTGCTGGCTGCGCAGGCGCTATAGGTGCGTTGACTTGATTTGCTTCTGTGTTAGGTTCCTTACATGCAATTTCTAAAGGTACAAGTAATTTCAAGGGACGTCTAAATACTTTACCCTTACTCCTTTCACCTGCTATCTGGATCTTTGCTGATCTTACTCTTCCATCTGTACCTACAATCAACTCAAGAATTTTACATAATTTTCAAAAAGTGCGTTTTTTATCGTCATCCTTTAAAAGAACTATATATCCAACCGATATGACTGGCTCTTCCCGTTTGTCTTTCGGTCTATAGGCTTCCATAATACCTGTTAAATATTCCTTCTTCCATCTCTTCGTGAATTGTTGAAGTAGAGTCTTATGATACTTGGCTCGTTTTGACAGAGCCTCGTATGTACTTAGCATTTCATAGTACCTGTCTTGGGGCAAAAGTGATAGATTTCTTCCATTAATTAATTGACACGGTGTCAATGGATATGAAATACCGTCAGTGTCATCATATGCATAAGTTATTGGCCTAGAGTTGATTACTGCTTCGACCTCAATCAAGATGGTATTTAATTCTATTTGCGTTAGGTATGACCGACCTATTACCTTTTTTAGACAACGTTTTACGCTCCTTATTAACCTTTCCCAAGCACCTCCTTGCCATGGGCTTCTATCAACTATGAATTGCCACTTAACTCCTTTCTTTTCAAGACTTTCACCTAACCTAGGGGAACGCAAAAGATGTTTTACATCCTTTGAAGCTGACTTAAAGGTCTTAGCGTTGTCACTTACCAATAGAGACGGTAAACCTCTACGTGCTGTGAATCTTCGAAACGCTCGTAAAAATGACTCGACATTGAGCGATTCTACAAGCTCTTGTCGACATACAAGTAAAAAGACAGACATAAAACTTCTCTTCGCCATCATTGTTACCTTTACTGGCAACTGTCAATGGACCTGCAAAATCTAGCCCTGTATTTGCAAATGGGGGCTGATCATCGACCCTCATTCGTGGCAAGTCTGGACAAAATACAGTAGAATATGGCAAACCTTCTAATTTCCTACATGTGATACATTTGCGTACAATACTTTTAATTAATTCCCTTGCACGAGGAATCCAATACTTTTGTCGTAAAAGATTTAACGTTTCCCTTATTCCATCGTGCATGACTTTTTCGTGGCAATAGAGAACAAGCAATTTGGAAACCTGATGAAACTTCGGTAATAAGATTGGTCTTATGCTTGACTCTATGACGGATGCATTTTTTATACGACTTTGACACCTCAAAATGCCCTTTTCGTCTACGAAGAGCTGAAATTGCGAAAAGTACAAAGGGGGTTTTTTGTCCCCTTTTGATTGTAAATAAACAATTTCCTTACAAAAGAATTCACCTTGAATTGAGCGTATAAGAACATTTTCTGCGTTAGCAAATTCTTCTATATTTATCTGATTTTCTCGTTGACAAGCATTGTTTTTTAACGATGCGCGTAAACTATGTATATAACGAAGTACCCATGCTAATATACGGACACATTTTCGGTAAGAACCAAACCTTTCAAAATCTACAACGTTGCCAACTTTTGCCTTAGTTGCTAAAGCATGCGTGATATTGGGGCTACATTTTACTCTTTCCTCTAAAGCGGAACCGGATTCGAAAATATCTTCTTGCTTAGGCCATTTTGTGGGAGGCTGTTTTAGAAACCCCGGACCCTCCCACCAAAAAAAAATTTTGCTCTAACTTGCGACCAAATATACCCCTTGACGCAGAGGCGGATCCAGCGGAAAATCTGAGGGGTGCTTAAGGGCGTTGCCTTAATAGCCATAATAATGCCACACCCCACTTTTACTTACGGTTAAATGAAGGCAACACCCATCTTGATAAAAATTAATCTTTTTTAAATTCAGGTATTAAAGCATAACTATATAAAAAATTATCTCTTTTGTTAGAAGCCTATAGCCTATTTGCTAGCAATGCTAGTTAAAACTAACACTGCTACCTTCGCAGTTTGTACATCACATTAATCAATGAATGACATTTTAGGTCGTAAGTCAATATTTGATTGCTCTGCAATATCCAGAGACTGGTTCATTTTTGTAAAAAGGCAGCTAAAATGTTTCAAACAAAAAAGAGCAAAATGAATCATTGCTACGTTAACTGACCATTACTATACGAAAATTGAGTTAAATATAATTGAGTCATGATAAAATGGATTGGGTATACCCTAAGTGCCAGAATCCGCCGAGTCATGATTTTCATGAATGCCATGCTATTGGTTGACCTTGAACCGGTCACATGAACTCACCTCGTACTGATTAACAAAACAATTTCCATCAATAGCAAGTTGTCAACAACGGATGCAAGTGTCACATGAAACAGCAGCGATCACGCCGAATCCAAATGACCCCCTATAGAGAAGGCCTATTTACTATGACTCAATGCCTTTAAATCAATACTTGTAAGAATTTGTTTATAAAAATTGATTGTTTTACTAAGTACCTTGTGTTGAAGTAGTACATTTTTGGGGTCATCTGCATTTGGCAAGAAATGGGTATCGAATTCATTCTGGTAGTAATTACCATACCACCCCAACAACCAAAAATCCTTGGCACCACTTTTTTGGGGGTGCGCATTTTTCTCTGTAAAATTCGATATTTTTGTCGAATTAATTCAAGAAATATTCTGTTAAAACGTTTCGCATTTAAAGCCTGGTAAAGGAAACTACCAACCTGAAAGGCCGAAGGTCAGAACTTTCACGGGACAGTACTTGAACCTTTGGCATTTGCAGTTCAGCGAACTCATCGATCTGTGTATTCCCACAAGTCACGACACCATCCACCACGCTCTTATCAAAAGCTTCTCTCATGATTGACTGAATACTCAAAAGCTCGTTTTCCGTTTCAATTTCCTCAGTCGACTGGCAACCAATAATCGAGAAAACCTGCAACAGCAACGACTTTATGTCCGCCATTGCTGCTACACGAACAGGTTTAGTCGTTTCAGTGACGGTATGCGCCAGTGTATATTAAATGATTGATAGGGGTGCTCAGATGAGCCGAAATTTGGCAAACGGATTGGTTGAAGCCTTGTTTTGATTGATAGGGGTGCTCGACATTGCGGAAAAACATATCAGAGCGTGATGTGATTGGCTCAGTTGCAACTTTGACCTTAGAGGTTGATTGATAGGGGTGCTCAAGCACCCGTAGAATTGAAGTAGCTCATTGGCCGAGAGTGTGGTTTGATGGACAAGTAAAAAAATTGGTTCCAGGGCAGCTCAACATGAAATTTATAGCTATTTATAGTTTAAAGCAGATACAGGTTATGCTAACTAACGCATGACCGTATGTCATCAGTTTACTGGAAAATGCATTTACATCATCTAAAAGGATTAAAGACGTTTTTCAGAGATTAGAGAAAATGCATTGAATATTATATCTCCGAAAATTCTGACCGGTGCTCAAGCACCCATAGCACCCCCCTAGATCCGCCTCTGCTTGACGGTAAATCAGCTGGGTTTTGAGATCCCGGGCAATAAAACCATTCATCGCGGCTTGAAGTTCGTAAATTATCCGACAAGCGATGGCGTACAAATTGCTTCCAAACCTTATTGTTCTTTATCCAGCAAAGAGTGCAAACCGAATCTACCCAAAAAAATACTTTGATAGGCGTGCCGTGAAGCTCCTCCCCAAGAGTACCTTTTACTGTGCTGATTAATTTTGCGAGTAACTGTGCCCCTAAAAGCTCTAAACGTGGAATGCTTTGTTTTGTTAGAGGACAAACCCTGGCCTTGGCAGTGACAAACTTGATGCTTACCTCCCCCGTATCGTACACAATGCAGAGATAAACAATTCCAGCGTAAGCAGTCTCGCTGGCATCTGAAAACCCATGTATTTCGACTTGGCTTACTATTTTACCTGGGTCAATAGAAGATCTTGGCATGCGAATCCCGTCTAAACGACTTATTTCCGAAATGAAACGATCATATTTTTCCTTTGCTTCTCCTGTAAGCTCTTCATCCCACCCCCATTTGTCTACGCAAAGTTCCTGAAAGAGCACTTTCAAATTGATGGTATACACACTAAGACAACCGATCGGGTCAAAAATCTTGGCTGCTAACTTTAAAAGAGAGCGTTTTGTGGGCTTAAGTGTTTTTGCTAGTTCTATAATGGACCCCAGATCAAAAAACAGTTCATCCTTTTTACTTTCCCAATTTACTCCAAGGACCTTGTTATTATTTTCCCTTTGAGGTGGGCCTATTGTTTGCTGAGCGAAGGATTGATCATCTTGTATACGTTACCTGTTTCCACCTTTTTGATTTCATGTAACAAAGCTGTGTCATTAGTTTTAAATTTGCGAAGGTTAAACCCACCTTCGGACAAAATCTCCCGTGACTTATGGAAAATCTCTAAGGCCTCATCAATAGAATTTGTGCTACATGATAAGTCATCAGCATAAAGCCTATCTAACACTTTTACAACACGAGGAAATCGATTAGCATATTGAGCAATGTGTTTCTTAATTGTGGCTCCCAGTATAGATGGCGATGGTCTTAAACCAAACACCAGTCTACAATACTTATACTGAATAACCGTTGGGTTCGGCTTACTAATGTCGTCATACCACAAAAAACGTAAAGCATCCCGGTCTTTTTCATCAATTTCTTTTTTTTTTTTTTGAATATCAGCTGTTATAGCAATGGCATGTGAGCGGAAACGTAATAACGTATCGAATAATGGCGGCATGTAATTATCACCAAGTTCTAAACATTCATTAAGAGATAAAGCTTCCTTGTGCGATTTCGCACTTCCATCAAAAACAACACGAAGTTTTGTTGTTTCACGATCTCGTCGAATTACACCATGGTGACTCATAAAATGAGGATTACCCTGATTCTCCTCCTCCACAGGGACTTGCTCAATTATTCCATTGTTTAATTGCTCTTTGAAAATGTTATCATATTCAGATAATAATTCAGGGTTTCCTTTTAACCGGCAAAGCAAAGATTTTAAGCGATTTAATGCCAAGTTATAATCATCATTAAGGCAAGATATATCAACCTTCCAAGGAAGGCTTACCTGGTACCTTTTACCATTAAAGGTGATTTCAAATTGCTCGTCTTGTTTGTCTTCATTTGTGGGTTCACTCCCCTTGTCAATCCCGGATGATTCTTGTTTCCAAAACTCGCGAAGCGTTTGTGTTATTTCCTCATTTTCTTCGACAGGCCTTCCAACTGACGTATCTAAAATCAAATTAGAAGTCACTTTAGAATAGGTTTTAGGCTCCAAGGATCCTGGTACTTTTCCCGAAAGTAGCCATCCTAATTTGCTACTTACTGCTATTGGCCCTGATGTACCTCTAATAACATCACCAATGATTACATCATACAAATAATCATTACCAATAAGCAAATCAATGCGCCTATTTTGCTCGCTTAGCTTCTTGTCCGCTAGATTAAGGCCTATCAAATGCTGATACTTGCTTACGTCTATGCGCGTATTTATAGGCGAACAAATAGACTGATAGCCTATGGCGCTTATCAAAATTGGCGTCTCATCTATTCCTGTATCTAACTTTAACTTTACGACGTCACATTTCTTGCGTACTGATTTCTCAGTTCCAAATGTGTTCAAATTTAAGTTTTCCTGTCTTTCGACTTCCAGATTCAGTTTTCGTCTGACTTTTCAGAGATGTAGTTTCGTTGGCTCCCACTATCGAAGAAAACATTGATTTTCATCCTCTGAGCCTTGTCTGCCCCATAAACATACGCAGTGGCCGTCTGCAGCAAAACTTCTTGTTTTCTTGTAACACTGGTAGTTACTTTTGTTTCTTCCTCCGTTTGTTTTGCTCCTTTGTAGCAAATTGACTCGTGGTGAAAATTTCTGCCACATTTTCTGCAATTTCGATTTTCCCGACACTTTTTTGTCATGTGTCCAGATTTCAAGCAGGAAAAACATCGTTTGGTCTCCAATAGGATCTTCTTTCTACCCGTTATTTCCTGGACTTCTTTGCAGCTTGACGGAGAGTGTGCATGCCCACAATAAACACAATCTTGCACTTTTTCGTCTTTCGTCAAAAATGTCTTCGTAGTGCCTTGTGGTGATTTTGATCCATATCCTGAAGTTTTGTCACATTTCTTTTCGACGGGCTTGATGTTATCGCTCAGTTCCCTGGCTTCAATTTCCTTTTTGACGATCTCCAATATTTCTTTTATCGGCCAAACTTCCTCGGTCGTCTTTCTGGCGACATGCAATGTAATTTCTCGCGGCATTCTTGCCATAAGGATTGGTACTAATAAACTGCCATAACTTGCAGAACTCATACCAAGGGCTTCAAGCCCCCTTACGTGTACATTTATGCTGTCGTAAATGAAGCGCAATTGCTTCACGTTTTCGTTTGGGCAGTTTTGTAGTCCAAGGAGAGCCTGCATATGCGTCGAGATTATTTGTTGTTTGTTGCCAAACCTTGCCTTCAAAATTTCCATTGCATTTAAATAATTTTGTTCCGTCAGTTCGAGTCCTGATACTGCACGGTATGCTGGACCCTCCAACAAATTCACCAAGTAGTTGAGCTTATCAACTGCAGTTATGCTTTCGTTTTTATCTATGGCATTCTCGAAACTCTGCCAAAAGGACATGAAACGTGTTATATCTCCGTTAAATCGTGGGAGCGTTATTTTTGGAAGACGAATGGGAACAGAACCCATGGTAACCCCGCTTGTATTGAGACCATGTTCGTTGTTTGTTGCTTGTTCAACGTTTTCAGCTTCTCTGGAAGGCGTTGACGTAATAATTTGTGTCGTTCCACTCCCAACTCCGAATGCATTGGTCTGAGCGTAACGACCGTCTTTAAAAGCTTGAATTCTTCCCAGAATTTCATCGATTCTGAAATTCAGCTCCGTCGTTTCATCGATTTCTTTTTCGATATTAACTTCTGGACATAATTCCAGTATCTTTTCGTTTAGTCCGTTCACAAACGTTTGCTTTTCTCGAAGAGACTTTTGTACCGTTTCTAAACGAATCACCTTCTCGACTTGTTCTCCATTTTCATTAATTAGTTCTTCAAGAAGAGCCGTGGCTTGTCGTTCAAGCTTCGTAATGGAGGTTCTATTTCCTCCTCGTATTGCTAACAATTTCGTTAATTGTCCACTGTTACCTTCTGTATCAGTGGCCATGATTTCGTCGTATTCCGTGCCCCACGTTGGGCGCCATTATATTTTGAACATAGCTTCGGTAGAGCGTAGACGTGAATGAAACTCCATATCGTTGATTTTATCTTTAAATATATACAAAACGTGACTATAAACAACTATAACGTAAACGTAACTTGTTAGCCCATCATGAATTTGTAGCGTGACTTTATCGTAACTTCACTACTTCAAACAACTTCACCTTACAATATAGGGCGTGAATAAATAACGTAAGAAGACTGGGACGAGTAGGAATCCCCC